GCGATTACCTTAGCGATCATCGAGATCGTAAGACTTCGATAAGGGGATATCAGTCGGCCGGTTACGCAAAACAGAAGTCGAGAGACTTCGGGCGAAATATAAAGCGCGTCTGAGGGCTATAGGGGGAGGAGAGGGGAGGTGGAACGCCGCGTTTTCACGCGCATGCCAGCCCCCGCTCGTGATGACGTCAGGCGGAGGAAAAATCAATTCAACCCGTGTACAGTGCGGCAGGACAGGGACGTTGTTATATCTAACCACCACGGTCACCGTCATTGAATTAGCCGAATTAATTGTAGTTCGCCGAAATCGATCGCCCTTGGGCCAATTCTGCAGTTTTAGAATTCTGTCGATCGTTTGATATTCTGGACGTTCTTTCTCGGGATCAGTTCTCTTCGGCAGAAGAAGAAGGGAAGCGAGGTTCTCCTTTGGCGACTTATCTCTAAAGAGACAGAGCTGAAGGATTTTAAATACAGGCTGAGGGTTGCTTGAACTGGAAGAAGGGAGACCTGGTTGGGGAAGCTTGTACGAAATTTCCAAATTCATTTACATTGAGATGATGATTACTGAAAATATCAGAGCTAACAAAACGATAAACGATACTGTGATGATCGACTACGATTTTAATTTTAATACATAAGTGTGCAATATCGTGTATTGCATGTACTGAAGATTATAATATTTGAGTTCCATTGGGATGCTTGAACATCTGTTGTTTGCAATACCACGTCTTAAATTGACTCTCTTGAACAAACTGAGATTAGAAAGACGATAAGTAAAGTCATCGCATCGTGAAACGTTTCGTTACGTAATCCATTCAAACGGTACTATTTAATCGATTAATTAATTGTTCGTTCCAGCTCGTTAAGACCTCGCATAGCCGCATAATTGGGATAATGCTTGTGCAATGCCACTTCGAAGATTAGTAACGTTGATCGTTTCCCTACAAAACGCAAGAACGTCCAACGTACAAGTTAACTTGTTTCAATGAGCTTTATCAATCATGGATTACTTTAGTCTGACTCGATCGCGATTTCCTTGGTAATTGAATTGAAACAGTCGAGTCCATCTCAATGAATTATTATTAATGTTTAGCCTTAATATTTAATTTGAAATAATTCAAGAATTTTTTCATGAAACTTGGAAAAGTCACAGTTAGATTTGAAGCACAGAGTTCATTGAAAGATTTCAAAAAAGAATACATGTGGAATATCTTTTATATCTTGATATATTAATATTTAATTTGAAATAATTCAAGAATTATTTCATCAAACTTGAAGAGTCAGAGTTAGATTTGAAACAGCACAGAGTTCATTGAAAGATTTCAAAAAAGAATACATGTGGAATATCTTTTATATCTTAATATATTAATATTTAATTTGAAATAATTCAAGAATAATTTCATGAAATTTGAAGAGTCAGAGTTAGATTTGAAGCAGCACAGAGTTCATTGAAATATTTCAAAAAA